CGTTGGAAGCACTGTCTGACGCGTCTGCCTCCGCGACCCGAAAGGAGAAGCAGCGATGGAAGATGATGATGATGATGATGACATCAATATTCGTGATGAAATTAATCGCTACACCTGTCAGAAGTTGCTACGATATCACTGCTCAAACCATCATTCAACAACGCTTCACCGTTCTCCAACAATAAAGCGATATATAAAGCATCAATTAATTTTTACAGTCTGCTACGGGGATGGACAAAATGATATAGTGACGCACCTGACGTCCCAAACACTTTTATTCTATTGAATATTTTCTTGTGCATGCTGATAGCAGGCTTTGCGTCAAGATAAATTTCGTTATGTCGAAACCATTTAACCTTGGCACTGGCCTTTGCTAAGCCGGCGTTCTGTCCGTTCCGTGTAAAGAATGGTCAGGCGTAGCCAGAGCGATGAATGTCAGTATAGGAGGTGTCGAAACGAGAAAGCTGTTATCGCAGGAAACTTTATTTTTTGGGCATCTTGTGAAAGTAATTTCTAACCCTCTCTGAAAATAGTTCGCAGCTGCATGTGACTTGACTGGCATGCATATAAACGTATCTAATACGAAAAGCTTCGTTCTTCTGTCTGTAGCTCTTTTCAGATCAATGGCAAAGCAGTGAAGCTGGTAGAGAAGTTAAAGTATTTCGGAATCGCGTTTATTGGTGATGGAAAGCTCGATGAAGAGATTTACTACCGGATTGGAGTTGCCTGTGGCGTTCAACATTAACTAGCTCGAACCATTGTGACAACAACTATGTATGATTAAGAAGCTCTCGATATTCAAATCGATCTTCATACAGATACTCAAACACGGTCATTAGTCGTAAACTATGACTGAATAACATTGATCCTGGGTTTAAGTGGCTGAAGTTGACTTTCTGAGACAAGCTGCTTATCTTATTCGTCTCGACATGATCCGGAGTACAAAAGTTTGGGAGAACGTTGTTGTACAGCTGCTGCTTTTTCAGACTGAGAAGTCACAGCTACGACGGTTTGGTCATGTGTTTCGAATGGCTTCAGAAAGGAAGGCGAAGCAAATATTTTTTGCCTGATCGACCGACAGAAGGCCCCGAGGACGGCCATGATTAACCTGCAGCAAATGCATGGAGGAGTTTGCCCCAAACTCCAGTTGTCTTCTGTCGAAGGTCAGACTGGCACATAATCGGGAACGTTGGGAACCACTTTTTGAGACGCCTGCCTCGCCTTCTGAAAGGAGAAGCAGTTGCTGACGATGAATAAGGTAATTCTACCTGTGTCTTGGTCTCGATATCGTTCGTCCAACTATCTATTACTCTTCAATGGTCGTGTCGTGAAGTCAAGCATTTTTGTGTAACCCATTATTACTTGCTGAACTTAAAAGAGTCACGAATAGAACATTCAAATATTAGAGAGCTGTGTAAGTGAGCACCGTAAGGAAGCATCATGAAATTTTGTGATCATACCAAGCGAGCTAAGATTATGAATATGAAGTCTGGTGCATGAACTTGGCGACGTAGTTTTACTTTTTTCTACTCGATAATTAATTAAGAAGCAACAATGATAACTCGAAAAGTTTAAGAAAATATATATTTCAGTGACATGTTAATACTTTTCTAAACCACCATCCTCACAATATCGTGAGAAAATGATTGATCTTTAGGCAACAATATACCTACGCACCAAAAAGCGCGAATATTTTTCGGTAGTCGAAATCGCCTAACCACTGGTTTGCCCCTGTGACTCGCTAGGGTGATGTTTATTTTTATTTTGTAGTTCCCTGTTCAAAATCTTGAAATCTGTGCTGTGTGGATGTTTATTTTGCAGAACATTCTGTACCGTTTGCTTTATCTGCTTTTTAATTCTTTAATTGCTTTATGCCGTTAAGTTCATATTTCTGGTGAACATCTTATACAAGCACGCATTTGTGCGATTATTTATTTATGTAGTAGAACAGTGAAATGTCTAATGGACTAACGTTTAAAAATAGCTATTCGGAAGACTATGATATTTTGGTTTATAGGGAATTTGAAAGTGGTTTATAACGGAGGTATTAAATCTGCAGCGAAAGTGTATATTTACGTATGCAAAAATGTGCATTTATATTTTTGCACACATGAATTTATAATATGATAAAACGATAAAATCGCACCTCTGCTCCTTCATCTTTGGCATAATGCTCATTGCTAGGTCATGGTGCCGTCAGATTTTGCTGCATTTTTTAACTAACCGCACCCTCTAACACATTCTAATTCTTTGCCTGCCTGATTCCTTGCTTATTTTGCTCTTGACTCGTTCTAGCTTAAAGTCTGCTATCAATGAACACATTTTCGTTTGATTTAACTCAGCAGTGAAACCGATCCGGTAATATTTATCACATAAGTTCAAAGAATAATTTACGCACTTTTCGTACTGCTTCTTACTTAAATACACGTGTCACATGCGCTGATAATTATGATCGTTTATGCTAGTACGTTACCATCCGCCATGCTCTCTGTTCTGCTTACTGTATTGTCTTTCTAGATTGAATTACAGAATGCAGATGTTCATTATCACTGCCGTGTGCAACGATATGGGTATCGGGATAAACGGAACCCTTCCTTGGACACTTCCGTAAATTTGACATTTTTAGTCGCATACCTCATTATCTTTTTAGGAATGAATATAAGTTTTTTCAGAAGATTACAACTTCAGTGACGGATGAAGGTACTTCTGTATGGATTTGTTTGTCTTACTATGTATACTGCGTTTTAAGGCAAAAGAAATGCCGTTATCATGGGCCGAAAAACATGGGACTCGATTCCAGAAGCTCGTCGGCCCCTGAAAAACCGTGTCAACATTGTCATCACTAGCCAAAAACATAAGTACTTATATCATATTAAGTATACATACACAATATACATGAAGTATACATACATAATATATTACTGATATATTTAAATTGCTACGCCCTAATTTGCTTGCGCATACTTGCTCGCTGCCCAGCTGATTCTCTGTAAAGTAGTTCGGTGACTCCTGCTTCGGCTCATCTCGGATTGTTGGTTCACATTTGTTTCACTGTCAGAAAATAGAAGGATGCAACTCATGATAGTTGCACGAAGCATTTATTTTGCAATTTATTTCATGCACTATTACGCATGCACATTTAGTATAATACAGTGCATAAATTCTATATGATGCAACACGAGCTTATTAGTAATTAATAATTAAATTGTGTGCAATGCCTGAAATATTCGAGAAGTTGCATATTGATGTTAGCATTTTCGAATTCTTCAAAGTATCTATCAGAATAAGAACCATCTGTCCTGACAATACGTCGAGTTGAATCAACATAATTCTTCTTCTATAGAGGTTGCAGCTGTCCTGCAGTGAACTGCTTGACCTTAATTTCGTTACTTTTGCAGACCAACAGTGAACTTCCATATGGATGGATGCTGCGAATCAATAACTTGCGAAAATTCTTGACACCGTCCTTCTGTAGCATTATTCATTTTAGACAGGCTCTCATAGATAATGTCAAAGCAGTTGCCGTCGTGCCTGATGTCTGTCCGGACGGTCAATCCACGTACGTTCAAAGTAGTTTATAGACACTTTTGTTTCGATCGAATAATCGTTCATTTCTTAAATTGAATTTAATGCTCGCTGTAGTCCTCCACCGATACGAAGGAGAGTGCAGTGGGCATTCAGATTTTTAAGGCAAAATTAGCAACCATCGAGTGTCTTTGCGGAAAGCCGTTCGTATAAATGTTTCGGTAGTTGCATTGGCCAAAGTGTAAAAAGCATCCTCGATGCCGGACATTTGGAAAGCTTCTTTGAAAAGCATTAATGACCGCATGCTCAAAATCAGTCAGTACCGATTGAGGTGCCAAACTTGGTTCCAGATTTTTCAAGGCGCCCAACATACTGAAATAACTCGCAGTTGTTTTGTGCGGCAGCAAGACAAATGTCGATGGTATGTCGTTGCAGCATTGTACCCCGAATATCGTGTGCAACTGCTGAAACAATTGAAGAACTGTTTAAATGTTCCGTCGCATACCAGTTGGATGATTCCAGTAATAGTCACAAATTATTCCTATTAGAAAAAATTAGCAGACGATCAGAAAATCCTCACAGTCGAACGCCTGCCTGTACCCTTCCGGCAGTAACAAATCATTTAGTTCGTTGAATTTTCTAGTCCGACGCGCTACTCCACTCTCCTGCTGTGGACTGTCTGCTTCGTGTAATGGATAGATGGCAATTTTTCGGTTACTCCTTGTGACAGTTCTTCAAAAGCTAAGGCTGCAATCTCTTATGTGGAATCGTGATGCAGTAACGCGTTCCTTTAGTTCTTCGAGATCTCTCCCTCCTGCTTTGTCAGAATCAGCATGGTTGTGTTTCGTGATTGACCGCTCATCCGATCTGTGCAATCCAGCACTACATTTTTTCTTCCGGCAGAGTTCGCACTTGGAACTGATAAACAAGTGAGCGAAATGCAGTACCTATGGCTTCTTCGTCATACTTGGAATCAGCCGTAGGGACATCTTGATGACTGTCCATTCGAATTACTGTCGCTTATATGACAGTTGTGTTCTCGATAAACTACCGTGCCCATAACACATGTCATGCCCGACAGCTGTACAGAGGGTCAGCTGTGCTGCGGACAAGTGTGCGGCAACCAGATTTACGGTGAGCAAATTTATGTGAATCATTAAATGGTACTTATAGAATTCTGTTTTTTGTACAGTACGTCGATTAGGTATCATTTGGAACGTGAGCGATCATTTCACAGCAGTAACATCTATCATCTCAGGAAGAAAACCCATTTTTCGTACTTATCGCAGTATGATGGTGTATTATAACATTGCGGTATATTTCCTAAAATGGGCGTTGATAGTTCAACTTAAAGAACATGAGTAGAAATTAATGCGGATTAAATTACGTAATCATTCCGAGATATTTTTTTTGAAGTGGACCAAAATCTCATTTTTCTGATCTTATACCATAGCCAAAGCACTTCTCACTATTCCTAAATGCTCTAAGTCGATCACTAGTATCCCACAGTTCTTCATGACTGGCATCAAGATCGTGGTTCTTCAGTCGATAGAGCATCAGACTGACAATCATGTGATCGGTTTTGAATCTCGAAACCTGAATAAGTCACTCGTGTCTTTCTCAGGCAGATAAGCCAGTACCACTTCTTGACAAGAAAACTGGATATTACAACAGTGGTGACCGTACTGTAGACGCTGCCTTTGAAAGCAGGAACAAGAGGTTCCAGACTTGTGACACAGAAATGGACATTAGCACCTTATCATGCGTGTGATGATGAGATGGTGCAGAAATAACAGGCAAACTTAAAAGTACGACTGTGACGGATAAACCAACGTATCCTGACTTTTCTTTCCGGCATCCCCATTACATCAGACTGCCAGAATGAAACATGCAGGTAACACAATTGAAATCCAAGGTTTAGCGTGCCTGAAAATAATTCATTTACGTAGTACGCGTTCGCCGTTTTTAGTTTCTCTTAGTTCTCTTTTGTTTTTAACTTCGTGAACAACATGGAAAGATAAGAGTAAATAGTTGCATGCTAGTCATAAAGTTCGGCAGAGCAGTTCTTGTCAGCCGTTGCCAGAAGAATCCAGAGTTATTACATTGGTGAGGAATTGGTTAGAAGGGATGGAAGATTCTTGTATCGTTTTTTGCTGAACCTTTGAACCAAAGGTTGTCTGAGTCTGACTAAAACCTTGGGGAGAATAGTAAAGATTCATCTTCATCTTCCATGGCCTCTTCTCCTTTCGGGTCACGGAGGCAGACGCGTCAGACAGCTTCCAACGTTACTGATCCTCTGCCAGAATCTCAGCTTCGGCAGAAGACAACTCGAGTCTCGAAAAGATTCCAGGATAATCTTAACCGTCCGCTGGGCCTTCTGCTAGAAGGTTTCGCAAGAAAATTGCGTATTCTTCGTTTCCAGAGGCAGTCACAACACATGCCCAAGCCATTGCAGCTGTGACCTCAATCTGGAAAAGCAAAGGCTGTATACCAAGGCTCTTCCTTCAGGACGTCAGTATTCTGGACCATCACGAGAGGCGTAAGGCCAGCTACTCCTCTAAGAAAGCCCATTTCGGCAGCAAGTTCGAAGTATTTCACTCATGGTTCACGACTCATGACCGTAGGTAAGCATGGGGATAAACATCGACTTTGAACACCGAGAGCTTTGGGATGCATCGGGAAAAACATCGACTTGAACATCGAGACCAGATTAGTTTAGTCACAATGGACCACGTAATTCACGCAGAACGCCATTGGCTACTCCAGTACGCCGGTCGTTCGCTTGCTCAAATTTTCCATCACTAGTATATACGATTCCGAAGTACCTGAACTTCTCCACCTGCTCCGTTCCGTCTCCGTTAATTTGAAAAGAGCAACAAACAGGAGAACGAGCAAGCACTAGGCTTTTCGTTTTAGATGCGCTCACACGCATGCCTGTCACGGGCGTCGCACTCGGCTGCGAACCTTTCTAGGGAGCACTGAAGATCAGCTTCAGATGCCAATAAAACAAGGTCATCCGCAAGCAACAACCTTCTTGTCTTCACATCTACTACACCGATACCCTCATTGCCTTGCCTGCTTCTGACTATCCTATCCATGTACAACAAAAACATGAGAGGGGACAAGACGCAGCCTTTACGGAGACCAGTGCGAACGTTGCTGGACGTCACGCCATTTGCTCTGACGCAGCACCTGCTATCAGAACAGTGATTGAATGACCCTTGGCAGCTGGCCACCATTCCTGTATGCTAGAAGCCGTGACCAC